CGACGGCCCCTCTGCGTCTATGATGGGGGAGAGTTTCTCTTCGTTGGTGCGCGCTTCGTCTTGTAACGTGGTGGGAGGGCCAAAAAAAACAAAACAAATGGGGGGGGGGTGGGCTCTTTTTTTATGCGATCTAGCACTAGCGATTTAGTTGAGTTAGCCATCAAATGCTAGGGGGATTTGTTTTTTGTGACCATTTGCGGCGGGTCCACCGCGCCCGGGGCTAGCTTACTCCAAAGCCGACTCTCTCCCCCTTCATCCCGGCCCGCCGGCGCCTTTCAAGCCCCCCGCCCGTTAAGCCGCGAGGCTCCTTGGCCCTCCACCCCCGGGCCTGAAACGTGGCAACACCTTTTCCCCCCTGCGGGGGGGGGGGTGTGGGGGGGGGGGCATCTGCGAACAACAATGGCAGTCCTGGAGTGATCCGTCGCGGTATCGTGAAGCTTCCGAGTCTGTTGTGCGCAAGCTCAAGCACAGCGCGCGAGGTGGGCGGGCTAGCCTTCGCCCACACCCACACCCACCCGCACATGACCCGGTTGGCCACACAGACAAAGAGGAACTGTGATCTATGTACGTCGTCTATCTCCCAACTCACCAACCGGCCTGAAAAGCGGCGCCGGCGCGCTGCGTGCCCGCGCGGAAGGCGTCAAACTCGTCGTCCTCGGACGACGAGGTCGAGAGCGCGTCTGGAGCGAGGACCGAGGTCGAGCCATTGAGGGTAGCCGACGGCTGGTCGGCCGACGGCGCAGCCTTTTCGACATACGAGGTGACGGCCTTGAACGGCCGTGAGGCGAGCTGCCGCGGCATGATCTGGTAAATGGCCATGCGGCCCTTGATGCCCTTAAAGTGCTTCTCGCCGAGCGAGACAGCAATGTACGGCGACTTGGGCGCCTCGACCACAACCCGGCACGCTTCGTAGCACCGTGCCGACGCCAGGATTTGCCCGCCCGATGCCGCATGCTCCACACGCGCCGCCCGGTTGACCATGGAGCCAAAGTAGTCCATGATTCCGGTGTTGTCGTCCTTGCGGCACGAGGGGTACCCGGTGTGGACGCCCATACGGACCCGGAGGCCCTTGAAGACCACCTTTCCAGACGAGTCCTTCTCCACCTTGCAATACGGGTGGTTCATGATCTGCGCCGGCCACTTTTGCTTCATCAGCATCAGCTGCATCTTGCCACAGAACGAGATGGCGTCGATCGGCTGGTGGAAGGCAATCATAAACGCGTCACCCTCAGTCTTGACCTCGTACCCGTTATTCTCTAGGATCGCCCGCCGACAGATCGAGTGGTGCGTCTCGATCGTTTTGGGCATGATGGTCGGGAAGTTCTCCCAGAGCGAGGTCGAGCCCTCGATGTCGGTAAACACAATCGTGACTTCACCCGTCGGGTGGTTGCCCAGCTCTGCCGCCCGCCGCTTCTCGTACTTGCTCACAAACGACCGCTGCCGCCGCCGGTAGACAATCACGCCGATGATGCCGACGCAGCAGAGGAGGAACAGCGAGCCGCCGCCCATGAGCATCAGCGCGGTAAACCGCTCAGACTCGGCTTGTGCTCCGGCCGCACACGCTGACCCGTCGCCGCCGCACTCGTCGCACACCACAGTCCGGTTCGAGTACGGAATGTAGTCACACCCCACGCAGTTGTTCGTCCCGTTACACGTTCCGCACGAGTCGCGTAGCTGTCCGTAGCCAAAGCACACCCCGCACATGTCCTTGTTCGTGTTCCCGCCCGAGCACACCATGCACTCGTCGAGCGCGTTCGACTGGCCCTTGCACGTGTTGCACTCGTCGAGCGAGTCCTTGCCCTGGAAGCAACCACAGAGCGTGATGACAGAGTGCTGCAGCGCGAGCGCAACTGGCGAGCACGCCCCGCACAAGTCCGGAGCATACACCGTCCCGGTCGTGTTGCACATTCCGCGGCAGTCGTATCGCAGCGGATCCGCGGCATTGACCCGGTTCGTGCAGTCGGTGTCGACCAGGCATCCGCTAAAGTCGCCCCCGCCGCACGTCCCACAGTTGTCCACAACCTTGGCTGTCGGATCTGTCATCGGCACAATCGTCCCGCACGTCGAGTCGCACGTGTCGCCACTCCCGCTGTACACGCCGCACGCGTCGAGCGCGTGTCCAGTACAGTCGTTAAGCGGACAATTGATACCACACGAGTCTGGCGAGACATACGGAAGTGACGTCCCGTGGCCACCAAAGCAGTTGTTGCACGAGCTGGCTGTCTTGTGCCAGTCAAAGAGCGGCGAGTCTGGCTCGAGACACACCCCGCACACGTCGCGTACCTTGGTCCCGTTGCACACCCCGGCGCAGTCGTACACCAGGCCCGAGCCCACAACGCCGTCGCACCCGACAATGCACGGCGCAGTGTTGTTCCCGCCGCACACGCCGCACTCGTCGTAGATGCTCCCGCCGAGCGAGACCGGAATGCCATCGCAGCCCATGCAGGACGAGCCGTCACCGTCGCAGATGCCGCACGCATCGTCGCGCTTGCCCGAGTTGAGCACTCCGTCGCACCCGCGGCACGTCGCGTTGTTGCCAAAACACACTCCACACGCGTCGACTCCAAAGTCGGTGCCAAAGCACACGTTGCACGAGTCCTTGTCGATGTTCTTGCCAAAGCACACGCCGCAGTGGTCCTTGGCCGAGTTGGGCAGGACTCCCGACGTTCCGCCGGCACACACCCCGCACTCGTCCACAAACGCAAAACCACCGCAAACGCCCATGCAGTCGGGATGGTGCTCGCCGGCTACAACATCCTCACCTGGCGGAGGATACGACCCCGCAGGCTTGGTGCAGTTGCGGAGGTAGCACGGTGAGCCACCGAGCGGGCAAAAATAACCTGCGCTCACAGTCGTACATGACTCACACCCGTCCGCCGGCGCGCTTCCGGTATCGCACGCCTCGCTGGCGTCCACGAATCCATCGCCGCACACTGAATTCGCGCTGCAGACCGACGGCCCTCCGGTGCAGCTGTACCCTCCCTCGACGAGGCAGTCGCGCCCACATCCGTCGCCCGACACTTTGTTCCCATCATCACACGTCTCATGCGGCGATTCCACCACGCCGTCGCCGCAAGTAAACAGCCGTGTGCACGCTGCCCCGGGCGTCGCGCACTCGTACCCGTAGTCGACATTGAGGCAGACCGAGGAGCAGCCGTCGTAGCCGACCCGGTTCCCGTCGTCACACACCTCGAGCGGCTCGAGGATGCCGTCACCACACACCGCCGCACATCTCTCCACCACCAAACACACCACCGCCGCCAGCAGCGCCACTCGGCTCGCCAACCGCAGCATATTCTTGCCGCCAACCATCGCAAGTCTGCTCATCTCCCGGCGCTTGCTTAACTGTCACAACAAAAGTCGCCAATAAACGCCTGACCCCGACCAATCGAATATTGCCTCGCTCCACTCAGCAATGCAAACAACCGCAAGCAAGACGACGCAAAGACGACAAGAGTCCGAGGCGCGAGCGGAGCAAGCCAAGAACGGTTCACCTGTTCCTTGCACCTGGGATGGACACCGGTGTTGTGTATGGTGTTTGACAACCGAGTCTCTTGCCTCCTGTGCTCTTCCCGGAGCTAAATAGCGTCGAGTGTGGCAACTCTTGCTTGCCGTGCTGTCTGGGCCGTGGTGGTGGTGGGTGGCGCGGCTGACGGCTAACGAAGGTGGAATCACCCGCGAACCGCTTCATAGAACAGAGCACGAGCAGAATAAAAATGTACCACATAAATGTCATCACCCTCCCCTCCCCGCTCTCCCCCCATTCTTACCGCTCTTCTCCCCCACACTCATTGCTCGAACAATCACATACCTCTACCGCTATCCTATGCCCACAGCACCTCGATACTCTCATAAGAACGAGCAGCAGAGTGTCTCGGCATAGACATCAACCTGCCAAAAAAATTCTTCTCAGATCCCACCTTCGCCGTGAATTGTAGTCACCCGCAACCCGGACTCTGGCCCCTTCCCATCACCGCCGGCCTCCACCCTCGCTCGCCTCCTACCGGCAGCACACATCGCCACCCGTCTCTCGCACGTGGAACGGGGCCATGCCGGTGTATCGTCTCTTTGTCACGGGATATCCCGAGTCGACAACAACCTCTGACCTCCGGAACCGCTTCACGCCCTTTGGCAAGGTAGTGGCGCTGGACTCCCGTGTCCGTGAGTCGGCCGTGGGAGCCTCTCCAGACATCTTTACCTACATCAGCCTAGACTGCGAGTACAAATCCATGCTTCGGTGTACGTAACCAACACTGCTCGTAATCCCCATAGTTTTCCCCTCAATTTCCCTCTGTTTTATTGCCTCCTCTGGAGCTCCCGCTATCCCCATCACCACACCCACCCATCTGGCATGTCGCCTTGACATCGATGGATGGATGGCCATCCTCGCGACAACGACCCCCGTCCGCCCATGCCATCATCTCGCATCACTGGCACCGACTCTGACTCACCATTGTGGACGTAGGCCTGAGTGTGTACTCGGGTACCAAGTGGCGCGGACAGACTTTGCGTGTGGAGCAGGCACTCCCGCATTATCTGCACGGACTGCGGGAAGAGTGGCAGGCGACCGAGAACGAGGTCAAAGCAGCGGCCGAGGTGGCAGAGGCTGCGGTGGAGGAGGCCAGGGCCATGATGATGCAAGGTGATGGTATTGATGGTGGAAACAGTGGCGATTCTGGTGATGGGGAGAGCAAGATGAAGGTGGTGGAAGAGGCAGAGGCCGTGGCAGAAGTCGCCAAGCGCAAGCGTGATCAAGTGCTCGCGACGAACAAGGTGGCTATGCCGTACATGGGAGGCGATGACGTGGTCTTCAAAAAGGTCAAGAAGGAGAAGAAGAAGATGTCGCGTACGCAGAAGAAGATTCTCAAGTCAAAGGCGAGGAAGCTCAAGCTGGCCGGAACTTCGCCGTATTTTATCACCCGCGACGCCCTGCTGGAGTGGGCCGAGAAGTCGAAGCGGATCAAGCGCAAGGGCTGGGAGAAAGGGCGGCTTCTCGATAAGGCGCTCTCGCGCCTCCCGGTTCCGATTCTCCGGCATCCCACCCGCGATGGCAAGGACACCATGTTCCTCTGCTCCAAGAACATCCGACTCCGCGCCCGCCGCTTTGACGACGCCGACTCGCCGGCACCGCCGTCGGCCGCCCTTATTGACGAAGACGCCGTCCTCAACCGGGTCCCACTCTCCAAGCCCGACGTTGCGCCGCCGACGCTTGACCCGCTTGCCTTTGCCGCCATCCGTGCCTCGGCCAACCGCATCAAGCGGCGCGAGGCCAACCGCGAGGCCCGCCGCGCCGAGCGCAAGGCTGCCAAAGCCGCCGCCAAGGAGCGGAGGCTTAACCAGCTGGCTATCTCGGACTCGAACTCGGCCGAGTCTGGCTCGAGCTCTGGTTCGAGCTCAAACTCAAATCTGGCTCGGGGTCTGGCTCTGGCTCGGGGTCTGGCTCGGGATCGGGCTCCGGCTCTGGATCGGGCTCGGGGTCAGGAACACAGTCAGCCGCCTTGGACGCGCCCGAGACGTTCGCAGCGCCCGCGCCGATGGCAGCGCCCGGGGCGATGTCCGAGTCGGACGGCTCGTGCTCGTTTGAGGTCGTGCCGCCCGCGCCGGTGGCAGCGCCCGGGGCGATGTCCGAGTCGGACGGCTCGTGCTCTTTTGAGATTGTGCCGGCCGCGCCCGTAGCCGCGCCAGCTTCAGACAGCTCAACCTCCCCTCGGAGTCTGAGTCGGGAACAAGCTCGGAGACAAGCTCCAAAGCCGGATCAGACCCCAGCTCCATCGCTCCGTCCGAGGGCGAGATGGTTGGACCGTCAACATGCACCTTGTCGAGCCGGTCCGACTCGGAGGCCGACCTGGACCTCGGCGCCCTGGCCAACGTCCCAGACTCGGAGCTTGCTATCTCGGACTCGGCCGACGAGCCTGCGCTGGGAACAGATCTTGGCAACGCTGTCGGGGCATCGTCGCTCCCGGGCTCGGCCGAGTCCCCAGCCTTTTCACCACTGTTTGTGCCGCCACCGGACGCCGGCGGCCTGGCGATTTCTGACTCGGAGTCGGACGCCGGGTCCGAGGTCTCGCTGCTGGCACCAGTCGTCACCGCTGCAGCCGCTGTCGGCGAGCGCGAGACGAGCTCGCGCTCGCCGTCACCGCTCCTCGCATCGCTCTCGATTCCGCGCAACGACTGGTCCCGCTTCGACTCGGCCATGGAGTCGTTTGCAGAGTCGGAGACGTCCGTCCCCGAGTCGCCGCACCGTAGGCCAAGCACCTCTGCGCCGCTGCCGATCCCGGTCCCGAACGCGGTTTCAGAGCCGAAACTGGCGGCGGCCGTCGAGCCTGAGCCGATGGAAGCTGGTATCGCCAAGAGCTCGGGCTCTGGCTCTGGCTCTGGCTCTGGCTCTGGCTCTGGCTCGGGCTCGGGCTCGGGCTCGGGCTCTGGCTCGGGCTCTGGCTCTGGCTCTGGCTCTGGTTCTGGCTCGGGATCGGGATCGGGATCGGGCTCCAACACTAGCTCTGGCTCTGACTCTGACTCTGGCTCGGGCACCAGCACCGGCTCGGGCACTAGCTCTGGCTCCGGCACCAGCTCCGGCACCGGCACTAGCTCCGGATCATCGTCAACGACCTCCAGCTCAAGCACGACCTCGTCGTCGAACACGCGGCCGCGGAAGCGGCGCAAGACGTCCAAGTCGCCCGACACGGCGGCGGCAATCCGTGCCCAGTGCGAGGAGCAGCGCAAGGCCGGCGTCGATCGCCTGCGGAAGCGGTTGAAGGAGACGGCAGGCTCGGTGCCGCATATTTCGGTCTCGGTCGCCACCTCGTCGCGGGTGCTCTTCTCCGACTCGGCATCCGACTCAGACGATGGCCCACGGTGGTCAGCCAAGGCAAAGGCTGCGTCGGCCAAGGCTGAGCCGACCAAGGCTGAGCCGGCCAAGGCCGAACCCGAGAAGCACTACCTGCCCGAGGCCAAGACGATCAAGACATCGGCGTGGCTCGGCTCGGGCTCGAGCTCAGGCTCAGACTCGGGCGCGGGCGGCTTTGCGGCGGCGGCCGGCGACGGCTCGGGCTCGGGCTCGGACGGCCACCGGCCCGGATTCACCTTTGCTCGCGCCCAGCCCACTGCGGAGCATGCGGCCGAGGGCGGCAGTTTGAGCTTGATGGACCAGATCCGGGCGCGTCGGGCAGCGGCAGCGGCAGGCAGCGAGAGTAAGGGCAATGGCAAGGCCGAGACCGAACCCGAGTCGTTCATCAACCCGCTTTTCGAGGGCAAGGCCGGTCACGAGCTGCTCCAGATGCAACAGATGATGAAGGGCGACGAGCGATTCAAGCTCACCCAGGCCTTCCGCTCCGACTTTGTCGACAAGCATCTCGGCAAGTTCCGCGAGGCCGGCAAGGGCGCCGATGCGGACTCGGGCTCCGACTCTGACTCGGGCTCGGGCTCCGACTCCGACTCTGACTCGGAAGCTGTGGCCGACGCTGTCGAAGTGACCAAGGCCGAGCGGTCGGCGATGCGATCGGCCTTGGCGGCAGTGCTCGGCGAGGAGGCCGAGGGCGCCGTGCCGATGGACGAGTCCGACTCGGAGTCGGACGGCGGCAGGGCGCAGCTGGTGAGCAAGTCGGCGACCAAGGTCCGCGCGTCAGCCGGAGGAGCGACAAGCGTCGCCGCAGTCCTCGCCGCGCAGCCGAAGCGTGGCCACCGCCGCGAGTGGCAGCCGACAGTCCGATACGACCCGACCCGGGCCGAGGACGCGCACATGGAGATTGTGAGCGGGCCCGCCCCGCCGCCACGCGCCGGCAAGAGCGAGAAGGAGAAGATGGCAGAGGCCCGCGCACTGGCCAAGGCCGAGATCAACGCCAAGAAGCAAAAGGCCCGGCTGCGGAAGAACCTCGGTGGCGTCGACGCAACCGCGCTCTCTGTCAAAAGCTCGGCACTCCCGCTCCGAGCCGCGCCCAAAATCGACCGCAAGGCTAGCGAGCGCAAAGCCTTTGTGGCCACCGCCGATCTGTTTAATGACAAGATTGTCGAGCGCGAGCGCAAGGCCACCGGTGCGCTTGTGCTCGATTCCACGCTCACCACCGAGGCCGGCTCGTGGTCGTTTGCCGCGCTCGGCATCGGCGAGGCTCCGAGCGCTACCGAGCCGGCGCCTGCAACATCGACGGCGCCGGCGGACGTGTCGGCGCGCCGCCGTGCCGGCAACGCGCAGCAGCCGGCGCCGGCCCAGTCCGCCAACGGCGAGCCCATCCATGTGCCGCTCCCGGAGAGCCAGATCCGCGGCCCGTCGGTGGCGTCGCGGATGTTTGCGCTGCTCGGCCCGGGCGACGACGTCAGCGAGGCCGAGCCGCAGGCGGCGTGGGGCGCCGCCTTTGTCGCCTCCAACCGGACCAACATGTCCGAGTTCCAGAAGCAGCATGCGGCCAAGGTCGAGGCCGAGGCCGAGGCCAAGCCGTGGAAGCGGCAGCGCCCGCGGCGGAAGAGCACAGCGCTGATGAGCGCGGCCGAGAAGCGGCGCCGGCTGCGCCGGCTAGGAAAGCGGCGGTCCAAAGCGTAAACACTTTCACGGCGCGACGCCCACAATGCCCTCGGCAGTAATGGCGAACGTCAGCGGGCTGTCCGAGAGCGCGAGCCGCGGGCAGGCAACGACGCGCACGTGGGTCGCCTGGTGCTCCAGGTGCGGCTCGAGCATGAGCCGGACGTCTGGCACAAACCGCCACGCCCGGCCCAGCGCCGGAGTCGTGCCCGAGGCGGTGACCCGATTGGTCACGAGAACGATGACGCCCGCAGCCGCAATGTCGCGGAGCCGCGCGCCGACAGTGGCGACATCGGCGAGTGCGCGGCGGCCCGAACCGACGATGGGCGAGAGGATGTCAGCAATCGAGTCGACCGCCACCAGCCGCGGCGCTATCGCCGCAGCATTCTCCAGCTGCGCCTCGACAGCATCGAGCGCGTCGAGGACGTCTGCCACCGAATGAACAGCTACAATCCGAAGACGATGGGCGAGCGCTGTCTCCAACTCTGCCGCCGCCGCCTCCTGCACCTCTGCCGGTGCCGACGCCAGCCGAGCATGCACCATCTCCACCAGCCGATCAACCGAGAACGAGGCCGACGAGTCGAGAATCCACGCCGGCGCCGCATCCGACGCGCCGGCAAGGGCATCGGCAGGACCTTCCGAGCCGTTGACGACAAAGACCGAGTCAAGAGCAGCCGAGACAATAAACTGTGACTTGCCCGAGGCTGGTGGGCCCACAAGTTCTGTGACGTCACCGGGGAACCAGCCACCACCGAGCGCGGCATCGAGAGAGGGAATGCGGGTGGGGAGGAGAGGGCGAGTCGGTGTGAAGAGGTCATCATCGCCGGTGGTGGGGAAGGGGGCGGACGAGGCCACAAGTTCGGCCACAACATCACCTGCGTGGCCAGGGAGTGTTCGGGCAAGTGCTCGACTGAGGAGCTCATGTCTCGTTGTAATGCCGGCCGCAGAGAGCATGTGCTGCGTCGCCGTGGGAAGGCCCGCAAGCGATGACATCCGTCCCAAAAAAGGTCGTAAAGTGTTGCCGCCAATGCTGCGAGTCGCTGGCTCTCTCGGCGGGCACGGCGAAGCGAAGCGGCTGACACCATACTTTGCAAAGAGCTCCGATGGCGTCGACACGGCCGGCTCCGACGGAGCGGGAGCCCATCCGCCCGCTCTTTTGATAACAATGCGCAACGACGAAGACGACGCCCGCCGTCTGGGCGCTTGATTCTTCCCTTGATATCGTGTGTGCGCGAGCCATCGAACGGCGCTCACGTACACGCGGATCGCCGTGCCAATCAGCACGATGTGTCGGCAAAGATGGTCAGCACAGTAAATGCGAGGATATCACAGGCTGTCGAGCCAGCGGAGTGGTCGCCCGGCCGGCAACCGAGAGTGCGGGCGCGCCGCCGCATGGCTACCGGCCGATGGACGGCCGGCAGCCGATCAAATGGCTAGACTTTTACATGCGGGAGGGTGTTTTAAGCTCGGTGAGCAACGGATACATATAGCCCCAGTTGCTGGCGTATATATACATGTGGCGGGGGCAGGGCAAAGCGATGATGAGCCGGACAGTGCTGTGCGCATGTTAGATCCGCGAGGTGACTCGGTAGCAGATGCGAGCAGCGATGTAGGAGAGCGGAATAAAGAGAAATGTGACGACGATGGAGAGTGCGAGCCAGTAGACGTTGGGCAAGAGACGCTTGCAGTTGCGAGTGGTGTCGATCCAGTAGGCACCGAGCGAGCAGTAGGCAATGGTGACAACAATGATGGTCTTCTCCAGAAACTCCCACGCCCGGTCGAGAACACGGGTGGTGCGCGAGTTGGGGTTGACGTGCCGCCAAGCGTAGGCGATGACGCCGACGTAGAAGACCATGAACGCACCCATAATGAGGATAAAGCCAAAGACAAAGCCGACGAGCGGCCGGTCGCACGTGTTCTCCACCGACGAGAAGCCGATGACAAAGATGGGGACTAGCCATCCAAGGTAGCAGATGAAGGGGACGGCAAGCACAAGAGTGGCGCGCCCGGTCAGCTCGACGCGCTCGCGGCCAGATGTCCGCCACCGCGAGGCATGCGCCGACGACCGAGCGTCACCCTGCGGCGTCGACTCGATCCGCCGGCGATGCGCGTCCTCAGTGGGCGCAGCACCACCCGAGATGGCGGTCGTCGGCACATCGCTCCGAGTTTGCGGCGTGAGCACGTCCGGCACACCGCCGGTCCGCGCCGCACCACTACGAGTCTTTCCGCCGGGCATCAGCACACCCGGTGGCGCCCGCGAGACGCCCACCCGTGCCTGCGGCGGACTATTTCCCCGCGACCGCCTGGATCGCGGCCCATCCGCCCCGGTCTCACCTCCAACCGCTATCCCATCACCATCACCATCACCGACCCTTGCCGCCTCGACTGCCGCTGCTTCGGCCGCCGCCGCCGCCGCCGCCGCTTCTTGCGGCAGATCTGGATTCGATGGCATCGGTGTGTTGCTTGGCGCATCCAGTCGCGGCGAGCGGTGCTGCCCGGAAGAGGCGAGGCTATTGGATAGTTGGGCCGAGCCACGTCTAGACGGCGAGCCATGCCTCATCGACACGCTGTCGACCTTCATGTCGCTGCCGAGTGCACCGCGTGAAAAGGCGAGCTCCCGCGAGTGTGAGAGTCTCTGCAAAGAAGCTGTTGCCGCAGCAGGTCGGCTCACCTCATCACCACCATCACCACCATCATGCATCGGTTGGCTGCGGCTGCGGCTTGCAGGACGGGGCGCGGCGGGGCCGGGGCCGGGGTCATGGTCGGGGCCAGGGTCAGGGTCGGGACCGGGGGCGGCAGCGTTAGCGTCCGCGTCCGCGGCAGCGGTAGTGGCAGCGGTAGTGGCCGAGGCAGCGGCGGCAACGTCCGGGAAGCTGGACGTTGCCGAGCATGACTCTGGGTTGTCCAAAGATGATGAAGCTGAGGATTGAGTCATGTGTGTTGGATGTGTGTGCGTATGGTGGATGGCGGTAGAGGTAGTAGTAGTGGTGGTGGTGGTGGTGGTGGTGTGTGTGTGTGTGTGTGTGTGGGTGGGTGTGTTTGGGTGTGTGCGGGTGTGCGTGGGTGGCCTCGGCTCGGTACAGCTGTCTGTTTGGCTGCTCCTTGAAGGGAGGAAACGAACAAACAACCACCAAACGAATGGTTGTCATCCATATCAAATAATTGTTGCCAACACTCTACGATTACCGTAACAACAAACAATCGTATCCCTGGCACACTTGCACCCCACTCACCCCCTCCCCTCCCCCCCCCCCTCTTGCCCATGACGACACCATGCGACATTGCATGGATTGCAGTCGACGGTGACACAGAAGCCGCTGCTGCTGCTGCAGACACACTCGCTCCGCTCCCTTCTCCTTCTGCCGCATCCTCTCGCACATGGTCCTTCTCCAACAAGTACTACTCGGCCGACCTGGTCATCGACATCATCGATGGCTCCGCACTCAGTGATGATGCTGCCGTGCCTGCGGCGGCCGGCGCTGCTGTCTTCCTCGCTCCACTCGGCCACCGTGTGCCTCAGACCGATGCGCTCCCTGATCTTGCATCAGCGCTCCATGCGCGACCCGATCTCGGCGTTCTTCTCCTTCTCGGCCATGCTGCCCACGGAGTCGATGACAGCGTCGTCGACTATCTGCAAGAGCTAGCTGCTGGCGCTCTCATCGAGTTTATCCGCCTTGATGAGCACGGCGCTCGCGCGCTGGCTCAGGGCGGCGCTCGCGGCATCGATCGCGTTGCAGAAGCGCTGCAGACGCACATGTGGCCGTCGATGGTCATGAGCGAGGCCAGTAGCAGGCAAGCGCCCAAGTTGCCGAGCACTCCCGACGCTGATACCGAGCCCTTGTCGGTCCATCCCGAGCGCGCCGCCATCGACGCGCTCACCGCCACCCTCTTCTCTGCCTTTGATCTCGCCGGCGAGAAGCCGGTCAGCCAGGCCGCCGACGCCGAGGCGGAACAGACTGACGATGCCGAGTTTGCGGCGTATGAGGCCCAGGCCGATTCAGTCGAGGCAGCGCTGCAGCGGTTCGCGACCATGCGCCAGGAGATGGCGGGCCTGCCGGACAACGAACGCAAAGACATGGCGGCCGAGATTGCGCTCTCGTTCTTGGAGCAAATGGGCGGCGACGACGGCGACGACGAGGTCCCCGACTGCGCCCAGCAGTAGTCGTCTGCGGCTCGCAACTGAGACGCGTTTACATGCTCACGCCAGATCAACAACGCACTTGGGCTTGTTCGGGTTGTTGTCGAGGAGCCAGGCGGCAAGCCACTCGAGCGGCTCGGCCGGCTTGGCCTTGGCCAGCGCCGTGAGGCCCTTGAGCAGGACCGGGTTGACCTTGGCGTTGAGGAACTGCACGGCGTCGACCGAGGCCGGAATGGCCGACACCATGTCCGGGAAGAAGAACTTGATCTCCTTGGCGGCGTTGGCAGGCGAGTCCGAGCCGTGGACCGCGTTGCGCGTGGCGTCGGTGCCAAACTTGGCCCGGAGCGCCGGCACGCACGTCCGCCACGCCCCGACCGCGCCGCGCCGCGCGAGCACCAGCACCTCGATCGGGCCCGACGACATAAAGCCAATCAGACGCGAGTAGAACGGCTTGCCCTTGTGGACGGCGTAGAACTGTGCCGCCTGCGGTCGCGTCAGCTGCGTCCGCACTTGCCGGACCACCGCAAAGCCGTGGAGCGCCACAAACTCGCGGATGGCCCCGCTGTGCCCGGCGGCCGTCGCCCGCGGCTTGATCAGCGCGAGCGTCCGCTCCAGCGACGTGCCGGCGTAGCCAGACAGATCCAGCACCTGCCGCGGCACTCGGCTCGCCACACTCGCCGGCAGCTGCACCACCGGATCCGGAACCGTCTCGCGGTACGCGTTCTCGATGTCCACAAGCACGTCCGCAAAGTCGATGCCCTCGTAGTACTGCTCCACCGGCTGGATCTGCCACTTGCCGGTCTCCTTCGACCGCGTCACAAGCGCCACCACCAGTGACGTGTGGCCCTCCTCGCAGAGGAGTGAGTACCGCATGGCCTCAAAGCCGGATCCGAGCTGCACTGCCTCGCCGCTCTCTGCAACCTTGGTCTGGTCAAGCACACGCATGTACACGTCGAGCTCGGGTGTCAGCTCCTCTTCCACGTGCATGCCGAGGACAAGCACAAATGCCGCAACCTTGTCCGAGATCTTTGTCAGGTCCACCGCAATCTTCTCCACGTCGAGGTCGACCTCGCCGCCCGCGACGTCACCGCCGTCGCCGCCGTCTGACCTTGGCGAGCCGGTCGAGTACGCCGTGTTCGACTCGGTTCCGCGCGCATCGTCGTACTCGTCGTCGTACTCGTCGACGTCCTCGCCAGCCGCCCGCGCCGCCGCCGCCGCCGCCGCAGACGCTGCAGCGTCGGCCTCGCGCTTGAGCTTCGCCTCCTGTTCGCGGAGCTCTGCGCTCACAAGATGCATAACCGAGCCGTCGACCGACGACGGCCGCGCCAGCCCAATCGTTGCCAGCTCCGTCCCGCGCTCATCGAGAAGCATGCACCCGACGTGAAGTGGGAACTCGTCGTAAGCGTCCATGCCCTCACCATCCCACCCAAAGCCAAACACCACGTTGGTGTAGTCCCACCCCTCCTTGTAGTCCTTCAGCCGCTGCGTCACGTTCGGCACAAGGTCGACCGTGAACCGCGGAATGATCTCGTGGATCGATCGCTCCAGTGCTGCTTCCAGCGCCTCCAGCCCGGCGCCCGGCAGCAGCGAGCCGAGCGGGAGAATCTCCCACCCGCCGCCGCCCATCCGCCCACCGTCCTCGTCGTCGTCATACCCGCCGCCGTCAGAGACCGACCCGTCGTCCATGCCCCGCCTCTCGCCACGGCCGGCCCGCTGCACCCGGCACACCACCTGCGCCGACGGCAAAAGCTCTTCCGCACTCGCCGCCGCACCTCCCGCAGGCTCAGGGTCGCCGAGCGGCGGCGTCGACGGCCGCGCAACGCCCACTACCGGCGCCTCCGACCCGGTCACCTCGGTCACCACAAACGACGCAAGTTCCGGCCCGAGCTCGGGCTCCACAGGGAGCGTAGCCTCGGGGCTCGCCGCCTCTGCCGCGGCCTGGTAGAATGCCTCGTCCGGCCGCTTCAGCACCGCCACCGACGACGCGATCTTGCTTCGCGCCGTCGAGAGGAGCGAGTTAGCCGACGGTGTCCGTGTCGCAGGACCCATCTTTTCCGACATCGACCGCGACGACATCTTCTTCTTGCTCCCACCGTCGCCGCTCGACCCGCGCGTACGCGATGACCGCCGCGACTGCCGTGACGACTGCCGCGATGCCCGCGACGCACGCGACCCGCGGGAGTTGGGCGACGAGCCCGATGAGTCCTTCGAGTCCATGTCCGCCGTCCCGTCGTCGGAAAACTCGTCGCCGCCATCGCCGTCGCCGCCGGCTTCCTCCGGCTGCGCCAGCGCCTCGTCCACGTCCACGCCAGTCGTGTTGAGGAGCCGGATACGCGACGCCGCAAGCTCGCCGAGGTGGCTCTTGACGTCGACAACCATAAACGTCACACCCGCCACCTCGGGTGCCATCCGCGACGGATCAAACGTGAGCGTCGACACAAAGTCGCCTGCCGCGTTCCGCCGCGACGGCTTGTGCTGCACCCCGCCGTCGGACGAGCGACCCACTGTCGTTGGAATAAGCTCGAGCGGCTTGCCGCGTGCGTCGGTCGTCACCGCCACCACCTGCACCTCCTTGGCAAGTACAGCCTCGGCGGCCTGGACAATCTTGGCCTTGCGCCGCGCCTCGGCCTCGGCCACCGCCGCCTCGTCGTCGTCGTCGTACCCGTCGCCGTCGTCGTACCCGTCGTAACCATCGTACCCGTCGCCGCCGCCGCGCTTCTTCTCGTCGTACCCAGAGTCGTCGTATCCATCGCCGTCACCGTCGTCGCCGTCGCCGGCCTCGTCACCGTCACCGCCCTCGTCACCGTCGTCGCCGCCACCGCCAAACAGCGGGTACGCCTCGGGGTTCTTCATCGCCCAAGCAATCTCGACCGCAAACGTCTCTGGGTTCCGCGGGAGCGCCACCGGGTGCGCCGCCTTGAGTGCCACCGAGCGCACTGGCGCCTTCTTCTGCCGCGCCACCATCAGCTCCTCCGCCAGCGCAAGCAGCTCCTGGTACTCGACGTCGTCTTGCTCCGCCACACGCGCCAGAAACTTGACCTGCCACGATTCTTCCACCGGGACGCCGGCAAACTCGGCCACCGCCGCCGCCGCCGCCGCCGCCGCTTCAGACGACGACATGTCGTCGACGGCTCCGCCGGGCGTCGCCCCGCCGATTTGCGGCGTGGACGAGTGCCGCGCCGAGTCACCAGAGCCCAGCGGCTGCGCAGCCGCAATGCCCAGCGTCGACGCCGCTACCGTCATCCGCTTCGGCGACTCGTCGTCATCGCCAGTCACCGCCAGTGTTGGCGCACCGGCACCGGCGCCGCCCTCGCCCTCGCTGGCAGCCTCGGCCTCGGCCTCGGCCGCCGCCTCGCGCTCCTCCACAATCTTGGCCCAGTTGACCCGGTTGAGGGTGAGGACGACCGAGCCGCGCGGGCCAACCTCCAGCGGCGCCTCAAAGGCTGCAAGCACCGGCTTGGCCTCGTACGCCACAGACACATCGCTGTTGTCCAGCACCTTGCAGTACAGCGTTTGCGGCATGTTGGGCAGCTCCGAGCCGGCCTCATCGTCGAGCGGCGCCGACGAGTACAGCATGACCGACAGCGCCTCAATCTCCGAGTCGAGCGCCGCCAGATCGATCCGCACGCCCTCCCACGTCAGCTCGTCGGCCTCCTCCGGCGACTCAAAGTGCTTGGGATGCGCCACAGCACCGTCCAGCTCGCTGAGCGTCGTCGTGTCCACCACCGCCATCCGCCTGCCCTCGGTGTCGTGGACCATGGCCACGACCTCGTGGAACTCTTGCAGCGTGCCCTCTTCTAGAGCCTCCTTGAGCCCGACCTCGACAATGATCTGCGCCGCCCGTGCCGTCTGGTCGTGAGTATGCGTCTCGCCTCACCCAACAGCCGCCCGCTCGCTGCCTCGCCAAAAATTGCCGCCAAACGGCAAACGGGTGAAACCCGCCGTTTGGCGGCTTTCTCCTGCACCACCGCTGCGGACGGACGCTTAAAGTCACCCAAGCGCACCACGTTGCGCAAGGAGGTACTATGGTAGCTATGCTACGTGGGTGGAGAGAATGGCTGGCGTGAGCGCTATGTCGCAAGCGTGGGTGGCTCGAGGAGTACCTACCTTTGCGGCGGGCCGATCAACGGCTGGGAGGAAGGCCATGTCCGGCCCGCGGGCTGCTGCCTCGGCATCAGTGCCGTCGCCTCCGTCGACAGACTCGCCATGGTACGACGAGTTGTCCCCGTCGTCGTACCCGCCCTCGCCGTCGTAGTAGTAGTCCTCAGACTCGTCGTCGTACGACATGGGGGAGAGTGGAGTACCACGAGCGTTGGTCCGTCGGGAAGACAGCCGCGATCGATCACCACCACTCGATCACGATCACGATCGCGATCGCGATCGTGATCGCTTTCGCCACAACCTCACCGCACACACAACGCCGCACCAGCACAAGCACCAGCCATCCATGGGCGTTCTTTGCCTGCTCTCGCCAGCCAAGAGCATGTCGTATCCTGCAGAGACAAAGGTCACCGCCGTGGACGTGGCGAGCCTCCGGTTCGGACAAAAGACGGCCCAGCTGGTGGCGGCGCTGGGCGAGCTATCGGTGGCGGCGACAGGGAAGCTGCTGGGCGTGTCGGCGGCTCTGGCAAGCGGTGCACGGGATGGTCATCTTGCTCTGGCCGCAGGCAAGGCCGCAGTGCGGGAAGCTGCGCTGGCATATGCGGGGACGGCGTATGTGGCACTCAAGGCCAGCGAGCTCGACATGGAGGCTTTGGATGCCAAGCTGCGCATCATCTCGGGCCTCTACGGCCTGGTCACGCCCTCGGACGAGATCGGCTTTTACAGACTTTGCATGGGCACCCGGCTCAAGGGCAAGCTTGAGGTCGGCGTCGACTCGCTGTATGAGTTCTGGGGCGACGACCTGGGCAAGGCCGTGGTCTCCGATGCCGAGGCTACCGGTGACGAACCGCCCATCGTCGTCAACGTCGCCTCGGATGAGTACTACAAGGCTGTCGCGGCGGAGATTGCCCAGGCCGCCGACGACAAGCGCATTGTCGTGGTCAACGTCAAGTTTGAGACCGCGGGGCGGTCGTCAGGCGTCTATTCCAAGGCCGGTCGTGGTGCCTTTGTCCGCCACGTCGTCCAGTCGGCCGCCGCCACAATGGACGATCTGAAGGCCTTTGCCCTCGACGGCTACACCTATTCGGCTGCAAAGTCCAATGTCGCATCCAAGGGCCATGCCCACACTCTGGTCTTTACTCGGACCAAGGCACCGCCGACTGCCGCGCAGCGCAAGGCTGCCGAGCGAAAGGCGGCCAAGGCGGCCGCTGCCACCAAGACCAGCGGAAAGACCACTGGCAAGCGCAAGCGCAAGCCCGCTCCCAGCGAATCCGAGCTCAATCAAGGCAAGCGCAAGCTGCGGAAGCGCTGAGGAGTGAACCAAGCCAGTGAGAGGGAAGCGAGGGAAGGGGCAGCCGGCCGCACACCGAGATCAGTCACTCATCGGCGCCACCAAGCCCTGGCGCTCTAGTCAGGACCAGTTCCACCGCCCACAACAACTATTGAATGAACTTGACATGGTTCTCGTCAAGGAGGTCACGGAGCTTGTTGCGGATGCGCTTGACCTCGGACGAGTCGACCACCAGATGGACGTCGTCCAGATCAGCGAGAACCCATGAGTCCTCAGCCTCACCCACGTCAAGCGAGAGTACAAACTGCTTTACCGCAGAGTCGGCACACACAAGCAACGTTCCTCGCTCAGCCGTCACGTGCTGCATGTCCCGTCACTCGCCTGTGGTCGAGACAGCTGTTCCCGCCGCCACCCGGTAGACGACTTGTCCGCCCAACATGCCCAACTCGCCAACTCGCCGACTCACCGCCAACACCAACGTCGTTCGAAAGCGCACGTGACACGCGACCACCTCGCCGTCCCCTTCCGCACCCCCCCCCATCGCTACACTCCTCCTCACCATGACCTCTTCCGCTGTTTCTGCTCTGGTTATGCTCGCCCTTGTGGTGGCTGCCACCGGCTCTTGGGTTGGCTACTCTACCGCCATCCCCGAAGGCTACGCCCTCCAGGCCAGCCACAATGCCTCGCGCCTCTACACCGTCACCGCTCCGCAAGGCGTGGCCGAGAACTTTGGCTACGACTCGCCAGTCTACCTCCTCGTCCTCGAGGGCTCCCACTACCAGATGGGGTACGTCTACATGCCTGCACACCGCACACCCTACACCGCATCCCCCCCCCCCCCTCCCCCCTCCCGCTCTCTTCCCCCCTTGCCCCCCCCCCCACCCCTGCCCCTCCCACCCCCGATCACGATCACGATCACGACCACGATCACGACCACGACCACGACCACGATCACCTGCTCACGACCTTTTT